TCGCAGCCGCAAGCGAAAGCGCAGGCGACGTCAAACGGGACGGGCGCGTCACGCGCGAACCTAATTGCCTGACGCGCCGGCAAACCGAAGGCCTAAGCGGCACCTAAGCGGACCGGAAGCGAGAGGTGATGCGGGCTGCAGTTGCCAGGAAACAGGTCCAGGAGCGAGCGCATGCAAAATTAGCCAACAGGGCCTAACCTACTCGAAACGTGGCAAATTATCGAACAATCTCCAGCGGGTTCCCAGGCTTTGGGTGCTTGCCAGCCCGCTCACAAGAGCCGCCATACCACTGCATGCTGCGGGCTAGGGGGTGATCGGATGGGCCTAGGCACTCGCCACCTCTCATCCTTCAGTTGGCGACTTGTCCAAAAGACGCTTGGTAGGAGCCACACAAGGTTCACACCATCGCACCGCGGGTGACCAAAACTTGGTGCCTCTTGAGCTCGACGATAGCTTCATCGAGCGGCGCACTGACACCCGCGGGCCCCTGATTCGCATGATCGGAAACCTCGTCACCGAGATACGCACTAGAAAATTGTAGCACCGTCTACAGCTCGGGTTCTAAAAAGTGGGGCGCTCTGGTTGAGGATATGTTGGGCCGTGGGCGAACACACAGAGCAACAATGCATTGAGGCCAGCAGGAATTATGGCGATAACCAAGCAAGCTCGGCACTGGAAAAGGGGGCCCTTCACAGCCATACGATGCATGGTGAGTCCCACAGGAGCCATGAGGGCCTGAATATGCGCAAGCCGCGCGGGCCTGTCACTCGGTGCATCACGATGAAGGGGGAGCATAGGAGGAGGGGGAGGAGGGGGAGGGGAGGAGGAGGAGGAGGAGGAGGAGGAGGAGGAGGAGGAGGAGGAGGAGAGAGGAGAGGAGGAGGAGGAGGAGGAGGAGGAGGGAGGAGGAGGGGCAGGGCGGGGAGGAAGAAAAGGAACAGGAGGAGGAGGAGGAGGAGGAGGAGGAGGAGGAGGAGGAGGAGGAGGAGGAAGGGGAGGAGGAGGAAGACGAGGAGGAGGATGAGGAGGAGGAGGAGGAAGAGGGGGAGGAGGAGGAGGAGGAGGAGGAGGAGGAGGAGGAGGAGGAGGAGGACCAGTAACTCCACCTTCCCGCCGTGTGCACATCTGTGTTGCCACGCGGAAGAGGAGGATGGACAGGGAGAGGGAGCAGGAATGGAATTGATGATGATGCTGATGATGATGTTGATGCTGCTGATGATGATGATGATGATGATGATGGTGGTGGTGGTGGTGGTGATCATGATGATCATCATCATCATCATCACCATCATCATGATCAGCATCATCATCATCATCATCATCATCATCATGAGGGGGGAGGAGGAGGAGGCGGAAGAGGAGGATGAGGAGGAGGACGAAAAAGAGGAGGAGGAGGAAACGAGGCGGCAGAGGAGGATGGAACACTAGGGGAACAAGAAGAGGAGGGTGAAGAGGAAAACAAATGAGGAAACAGCACCTGACAGGAAACGTGCGGCTCGTGGAGGAGGCTGTGGAGGAGACGGAAGAGAAGAGGTCCGCCGCCGCCGTTTGCATCGCCGTCGTCGTCGTCGTCGTTTTAGTCGTCCTCGTTTGATCGTCGCGGTCTTCGGAGTCGTCGTCGTCGTCATCGTCGTCGGCCGCGCCAGAGAGACGGGGAAAATTCCGTACAAAAGTTCGGTGTTGTATTGATTCCCCTTTTGCCCCGTGCCCGTGGATATACATGTGATTTGTTTAGCGGTGGTTTGCCGCGTCAGTGCGTGCGTGGTTGCTTCAATTACGTGAGAGGCCTTGCGTAAACGTGCAACATTGTGGACAATTGCGTAGAATTAGGTGTAACTAGGTGTACGTACGCACAACTACTTACGTGTACACCGCACTCACATCTATACCCCTGGGTGGGTGTATGTGCGGCCGTTTTCGCGCTGTCATGTGCGCGCATGTGCGCGGCATGTGCCAGTCATGTGCCAGGCCTGTGCGGTCCTTCTTGGATGGACTTCCTACTGTGCACGTCGTGCCCGGGCATGTGCGGGGGCATGTGCGCTGTGTTTTGATGTATCCATCATACGCACATGCACGCACAGTCCGACGCACATGCGCGCACATGCCTGCACATGCGGGAGGTGTTCGAGAATCGCAGATCTGTCATCGGCACATGCACGCACATGCCTGTGCAACCTCTCTTCGGGAGGCCGCGCGGGCCCGCACATGCACGCACATGCGGTGAAGCGCGCGGGCGCACATGCGTGCACATCCCAATGCACATGCACGCTCATGCCCTAGGAGCTGTCTGGGACCCCTGTGCCTCCAATGCTTCCTGGCCTTCGCAGAGCTAACCTGGGGCGTGCCAGGGCTTCCTGAAAGAGTTTGTTGTGCGTTTAGACTCGCCCGCTGCTGGCGGGGGCGGTTCTTCGCCCGGTTCGTGAGCTGGCGGTGGCGCGCCCGCCTAATAAAATATTCTCCCGCGCGCCTTCTCAGCTCGGCCGGAGAAACAGGGATGGGGGGGGGAGAGGTGGAAGGGGGAGGAGGGGGGGGCGGAGGAGGCGGGCGCCCCCGGCTCGGCCGGCCCGCCTGCCTGTTCGGCTCGGCCAGAGGAGAAGGAGGAGGAGGAGGAGGAGGAGGAGGAGGAAGAGGAGGAGGACGAGGAGGAGGTGAGAGTTGCGAGGATGTCTCAGGCGAAAGCGGCTTGACGGCCCGAGCTCAGGGAATCTCGGAATCGCTGGCCTGGCTCGGCCACCGGCGAGCTCGGCCTGTGCGATGTGCGTACTTGTGCAGTGCATGTGCGGGACGTGCAAGAATGCCGGGGCCGGCGTTCGTCTCCGGACGCCGGCGCGTTCGCGTCCGGCCAGTTCCGCGTGAGACGTCGTCGGCAATCTGGAGGCCGACGTGCTTTGACATGAAGTGATCTGGCCACCTTCGCCTGAGACATCCTCGCAACTCTGGTCTCGGAGATGCCCTGCCCCATGGTGGCCCGGCCACTTTCGCTTGAGACATCCTCGGGACTCTGAGTTTCGAGACGCCCTGAGCTGAGGTGGTTAGACCACTTTCGCCTGAGACATCCTCGCAACTCTGACCTCAGAGATCTCCTGCCCCATGCTGGTCAGGCCACGGTCGCCTGAGACATCCTCGCATGTCTCGATTCCGATATGCCCCGAGCTGAGGTGGTCAGCCACTGTCGCCTGAGACATCCTCGCAACCCTGATCTCAATGATGCCCTGCTCGAGTGTCTCGGCCCCTTTCGCCTGAGACATCCTCGGAACTCTGGGTTCCGAGACGCCCTGAGCTGAGGTGGTTAGACCACTTTCGCTTTAGACATCCTCGCCCGAGATGCCCTGAGTTGAGCTGTTCAGGCCACTTTTGCCTGAGACATCCTCGCAACTCTGACCTCAATGATGCCCTGCTCCATAGTGTCTCGGCCTTTTTCGCCTGAGACCCTCGCAACTCTGGGTTCTGAGATGCCCTGAGCAGGTGGTCAGGCCAGTCCTGCCTGAGACATCCTCGCAACTCTGGGCTCCGAGATGCCCTGGGCTGAGGTGGTCAGACCACTCTCCCCAGAGACATCCTCGCAACTCTGACCTCAGAGATCTCTTGCCCCATGGTGGTCAGGCCACTTTCGCTTGAGACATCCTCACAACTCAGACCTCGGAGGTGTCCTGCCCCATGGTCGTCTGGTCACCTTGACCAGCGACATCCTCGCCACTCTGGTTTCCAAGATGCCCTGCCCCATGGTGATCCGGCCACGCTTGCCTGAGACATCCTCGGAACTCTGGGTTGCGAAATGCCCCGAGCTCAGGTGGTCAGGCCACTATCGCCTGCGACATCTGCGGCATGTGCGGGCATGTGCGTCTATGCTTTCAGAGTTTTGCTTGACCGTGCATTCGACTGTGCGTCGGACGGTGTGGCATGTGCGCGCATGTGCGGCAATGCTGTTGAGGCGTTTGTATATTTGCATGGGCATGTGCATGCGACTGCGCGGCATGTGCCTGCATGTGCGGCCCCTTCCGGACCACAATTTCAAAGTGAGCACTATAGAAGTGAGCGCTATAGAAGTGAGTCCGGTGTAACTAAATGTCACTCCGCGCAACTGCGTGTAACTAGGTGTAACTACGTCGTGCTAGGTGTAACTACGTGTAAACAGGTATAGGTTCGTTTAACTTGGTGTAACTTGGTGTCGCTGTGGTCGCCGTATCGCTTAATGTGCGACGCTACTTGCCGGCACACTGGAATGTTGGGCAAAGTATGGCGCAATTTGGTGGAATGGCGCCTGAACCTGGTATTCATCATAGTGTTTCGTCGCGCCCACGGACCTCCTAGGAGTTGCCCCCTGAGCTGGGGCATTCTTTAATATCAGATGAGGAATTTCAGGCGTTTCTCGTAGTGGAAAAGGAGATTGGCAAATCTACTCGGTCGGGGCTGGGATATACCATGATCATTGCGCTGCGTTTGCTGTCACTCCGGACGGAAAAGGCGTCGCCTCCCCCATCTCTTCGCAATTGGCGGCTCACGTCTCATTACATGAGTGGAGCAAGGGTCTGGAGGAAGTGGTTGGCATCAGCAGTGCGGCGTGAGTGGCTCCTTGTACATATCGGGGCGATGTCAGCTGCGACCGCGAGCACCACAGCAAACCATTCATCACGTGCATGGCGTTTGGAGCGGCGGTGTCGTGGCGGGCCGTTTGCAAGCCCTTCCCTGCAGCGCCCGACTCGATTTCGCTGTTCCAGCGATCCCGTGCGGCCCGGTGCCCGCATGGCGCTGTTGCGCATTTGGCCGCAGCCGTTCCGCTTCGATTCCGCTTCCGCGAGCGATGCCGCCCCGCCCGTCGCGCCTTCCGACCAGAGCCGATTTCCCGACCCGCTGCTGACTGGTCCTCCTCCTCCTCCCTCCTCCTCCTCCTCCTCCTCCTCCTCCTCCTCCTCCTCCTCCTCCCTTCTCCTCCTCCTCCTCCCTTCTCCTCCTCCTCCTCCGACTGCTCCTCCTCCTCCTCTGGTCCTGGCCCCGGACAGGCTCCGGGCGCTCGTTGCGGACGGGTGGGACCCCGCCAGCCGCGACCGCAACGGCTGCCCCACCCTCCTGTGGGCCGCTGGCGGCGGCCACCTCGAGGTCTGCCGCTACCTCGCCGAGGACTGCGGCATCGATGCCCGGACCACGTCTGAGACGTCCACTCGGGGCTACGCGGGGCGCACGGCATTGCACTGGGCCGCTCGGAACGGGCGTCTCGAGGTGATCCGGTGGCTCGTCGAGGATCGGGGAAGAGAAGTTGCATACACATACATATGTTTGAGGTCCGCGCGGGTTTCTTGCATACGCGCTGGGCTCACCTCCTTGGCGCGCGCCGCGCGCCAGGGGCTTCGCCGGAGGCGCCGCAAGGTGGGTTCAGCGCTGATCCGAAAAAATCCGCGGCGACCTTGGGAAGTGTACGTCCTTGTTGTTGAATTTTCATTTCTGAAGAATAATTATTGTTGATCCCCCCTCACCTGTGCATACTGTTTTTTCTCAATCGAAGTTTGCCCCTCGACCCTCGCACCCTGTTTTTTTGACAGGGAAAGTGTTGGTACTCAAACTGTGCACCTGGCCCCCCAGACTACAACAACAACGGCTCCCGCCTGAGACTGCCTCCAAATTTACTCTGGACCCCCCCCCCCTCCCGTCTGAGACTTCCTCCCAATTTAATCAGGAACGGCGCTCCCGCTTGAGACTTCCTCAATTTAGTCCGTGTCAAACTGCGTTGTTGCTCCCTCGGGCTACAACAACAACGGCTCCCGCCTGAGACTTTTTGTTTTTTCCATTTCGTTTCCCTGTTTAGGGGCTTCTCCAATTACACGTGGCCAGGAAGGAATATAACCCCCCAAAACGGGGTACGATCGAAGACGAAGAGGGCGGGTATCCAGGGTTTGGGGTATGCATAGTGAATGACACGCGGGCCGGTAGGAGCGAACAGTCTTGTAATGATTGTTGCTGTTGTTGCTGTTTGTGTCGTTGTTGAACTCTCATTTCTGAAGAGTTATTTTAGTTGACCCCGCTCCAGTAACATGTGTGTTGTTCAATTGAAGTGCCCCTCTTGGGGCTTGCACCTTGTCTTCCATTAGGAAGTTCTTCCTGCTCAAACTGCTCCCCTGGCCCCCCGAACTGCAACAACAACGGCTCCCGCTTGATACATCCTCGCAATTTCTTGAAGAATCGCGCTCTCGCTCGGGACGTCCTCACAATGCATGTACGACTCGCGCTCTCGCATGGGACTTACTTGCAAATTATTCAGACGATGCGCCCTCGGTGCTCAGGAATCACGCTCTCGCTCTGGGCTTTCTCACGATTTACTTGGGAATCGCGCTATCGCTCAAGACGTCGTCGCCTGGGCCCGCCTTCCCGACCTGCCCGCTATGGGTCTGCCCACCCGATCTGCCCGTCTGGTTCTACCACTTGATTTCTGCTCCTTGTCCCCCTCCTGCTAATTTCTCTCGTGCTCCATTATTCTCCCTCCCCCTTCCACCCGCCCTCTCTTCCCGTGTTTCAGGGGCTGCATTAAATGCACGAGGCAGATAAGACAAATATACCCCCAAGGGGGTACGATCGAAGACGACGGGGGCAAGTATCGAGGGCTCTGGATTCATATATTTGTTGGCACGTGAGCAGATATGATCAAACAGTCTTAAACTGATTGCTGTTGTTGTAATTGCTGTTGCTTTTGATGTTGTTGTTGTCGTCGGTGTTGTTTTCGTTGTCGTTGTCGTTGTTGTTGCGTCTGTTGAAGTTGTTGAGTTTTCATTTCTAAAGGATAATGATTGCTGATCCCCCTTGCTCCGCAACCATTCTGTTTTCAATGTAAGTGCAAACTGGGCCCGTGGCCCCTAGTTTGCAAAGACAGCGGATCCTGCCTGATACTCCCCCACGAATGTTTCCCACATCGCGCCCTCGCACGGGAATCCCTTACAATGTGCGCAGGGATTTTGTTTTCGCGTGGGTTTTCCTCGCAATTTATTCAGACGCCGCGCCCTCGACACTCCGGAGTCACGCTCATTGTGGAGTCCCGCGCGGTTTATTTGGGAATCGCGTTATCGCTGAAGAATAATTTCCTGCGGTTCATGCAGGACGCACGCTTGAGCAACCCGCCTGCCCCTTGTCCATGCCATCCAGCTGTCCTTTGCTCCCTTGCCTTGGGGGCTGCGCGAAATACACGCTGCAAGTAAGAAAGGTATATACCCGTACGGGGGGCACGATCGAAGCCGAAGTGGGCGGGTATCGACGGTTTGGGGTATACCTGTTGATTGGCACGCGAGCAAATGAGAGCGAAAATCATTAAAATGTTTGTAGTTGTTGTTGTTGCTGTTGCTGTTGCTGTTGCTGCTGCTGCTGTTGTTGTTGTTGAACCCCCATTTCTGAAGAATAATTATTGTTGATCCCCCCCGCTCGGTGCCCATTGTATTTTTTCGACTGAAGTGGCCCTCCCGGGGCTCGCACCCTTTTTTATGAAGGGAAGTCTTGAGGCTCAAACTGTGTCGTTGGCCCCCTGTTTACAACAGCAACGGCTCACGCCTGATATTTCCTCAATTTATTGAAGAATCGCGCTCTCGCTTGGGACTTCCTGTCAATTCACCACCGAATCGCGGCTCCCGCTTGATACTTCTTAATCATGTATTGCAGAATCGCGTTCTCGTTTGGGACGTCCTCGCAACTTACAGCCGAACCTCTTCGCTGGATATTTCCTCACAATTTATTTAGATGCCGGTCCTTGACACTCAGGAATCGCGTTCCCGCTACATATTGCCTGGCGGTTCAAGCAGGACTCACGCTTCAACGACCCGCCCGCTCGACCCGCCCGTCGGGGCCTGCCCGCCCGACCAGCCCGTTACTGCTTGCAGTTGCCGCTCGCTGCCCTTCGCCCGCCTTCGATGCCCCTCGCTGCCCGTACTGGTTCCGCGGTCGCTCAGTGGCTCCGTCGTTGCCCTTTGCGGCCCTGCATTTTATACCCTTCGTGGCCCCCGCTCGCACGCGCCCGTCGTGGCCTCATACGCATGCCTTTCGTAGCCCCGCTGTCGCCCTTCGTGGCCCCCTCGCTGCCCTTCGTGGCCCCTTTGCTGCCCTCAGTGGCCCCGCTGTCGCCCCCTGTGGCCCCGTATACAAATGCCTTTCGTGGCCCCCGCGCGCTCGCGCCCGTCGTGGCCCCATTTGCATGCCCGTCGTGGCCCCGCTGCCGCCCTTTGTGGCCCCGTCGCTGCCCTTCGTGGCCCCGGTGCTGCCCTCAGCGGCCCCGTCGCTGCCCTCTGTGGCCTCGGATTTTATGCCTTTTGTGGCCAACGCTGGCTTTCTCACGATTTACTTGGGAATCGCGCTATCGCTCAAGACGTCCTCGCGATTAGTGCAGGACCCACGCTTCAGCAGCCCGCCTGCTCGACCTCGTCGCCTGGGCCCGCCTTCCCGACCTGCCCGCTATGGGTCTGCCCACCCGATCTGCCCGTCTGGTTCTACCACTTGATTTCTGCTCCTTGTCCCCCTCCTGCTAATTTCTCTCGTGCTCCATTATTATCCCTCCCCCTTCCAACGGTCCTCTCTTCCCGTGTTTCAGGGGCTGCATTAAATACACGTGGCAGGTAACGAAGATATACCCCAAAGGAGGTACGATCGAAGACGACGAAGGCGAGTACCGAGGGTTTGGGATATACGTATTGATTAGCACGTGAGCAGATGGGAGCGAACAGTTTTGAAATGATTGTTGTTGTTGGTGGTGGTGTTGTTGTGATTGTTCGGGGCAACCTGTGACCCAGCCCCGGCTTGTTGCTGCATTCCTGCTGCCCCTGGACGTCCAAGTTGGACGCCCTTACGGGTTGCAGCGATTCGGCGACCACGGGCTGGCCCCACGGGGCCAAGGGGAGGGGTTCGCGCGTGGGCGGCGGCCACGCGCCGCCCCTCCCGGGGCCCGGGGACGGGGCCTGCACTCGGTGGGCGCCCGCATGATCTTGGCATTGCGGCGGTGCCACGAAACGAGCACCCCCCACGGGGCCGAGGCAGGGGCGGAGGAGGAGGAGGAGGAGGAGGAGGAAAAGGAGGAGGGGGTACCCCAGAGGAGTACCCCAGAGGGGGGCCCGGGGGGGCGGAGGCAGCGGAGCCCGAGAGCCTCGCCGCGAGCCGCACGAGAGGCCGGCGGCCGGCTTTGGCCCTCCGCGGCAGCGCGATGGGGCCCCTGGAGCACGAGGAGGAAGCACGGCTCCACCGCGGCAACGCATTTTTGCAGCCGCGCCATGCAACAACCTCCTCCGCCTCCTCTTCGTCATCCTCCAGCTCCCACTAACAGTCCTCACCGCTGCTCCCCTTTACAGCTCCCGCTGCCGCTCCCAGTACTGGTCTCGCTCACTACAGCTCCCATTGCAGTTCCCAGGACAGGTCCCAGTACAGCTCGCAGCACAGGTCCCGCTACAGCTCCCAGTGCGTGTCCCATTGCAGCTCCCAGTACAGGTCCCACTACAGCTCCTAGTACAGCTCCCCCTGCAGCGCTTACAACATTTCCCTCACGGAGTAAGGACCCTCGCGGCGGCCCCGTGGGGGCGCCCGACAATGGATCTCTGGCCACAGTCTCAGCCGAGCTCTCGCCGTAAGCTCACACGGGGCTGGGTAACAGGTTGGTGCATGGGGGGCCAGCGACGGGGTCCTCACTCCGTGAGCGCCAACCTATCGGACACGGTGCCGGGTAAAGCGTAGGTGCACCGTGAAGTGCGACCCGTCAACCTGGCCCCGTCACGGGGCCCAGTTGCATGTTCTTCCATTGAGTTTGTTGTTGTTGCATTCGCAGATCTAAAGAATGATTATTGTTGATCTTCTTTCTGGGGCAAATTATGCTTTTCAATTGAATGCTCTTCCCGGGGTTCGCACGGTGTTTATTACAAAGGAATGTGTGGGGTCACCAAACTGGGCCCTTGGCCCCCGACTTACAACAACAACGGCTCCGGCCGGAAATTTCCTCACAAGTGATTGCCACATCCCGCTTTCTCGCGGGAAGTCCTCACAATCTATGCAGGAATCGCGCTCTCGCGCGGGAAGTCCTCACAATGTATGCAGGAATCGCGCTCTCGCGTGGGACTTCCTCGCAATGTATTCAGACGCCGCGCCTTCGACACTCAGAAATCACGCTCTCCTTGTGGATATCCTTCCAATTTCGTAGGGAATCGCGCTATCGAGACTTTCTTTCGACTCATGCAGGACGCACGCTTCAGCAACATGCCTGCTTGACCTGGCCCTGTGGGCCCGCCTTCTCGACCCGCCGGCCAGGGTCTACCCGCCCGATTTGTCCGTCTGGTTTTGCCGCGTGCTTTCTGATCCTAGCCCCCTTCCGATTACCTTTATATATATATATATATATATATGTGTGTATGTCTCTCTCTCTCTCTTTCTTCCTTTACCGTGTTCCATCCTCCTCCTCCTTCCCCCTTGTCCCTTTTCTTTGATCCGCCTCCTTCTCCCTTACCACAGAGGCCAGACGCAATACACATTACAGGTAATGCAGAACAAAATTGCAAGGGGGTGCGATCGAAAACGAAGGGGGCTGGTATCGAGGGTTCGAGATATACGTCGTGAGTGGCACGCGGGCGGATAAACGCGGACAGTCTTACAATGAGTGTTATTGCTGTTATTGTTGTCGAACTTTCATTTCTAACGAATATGTGTTGTTGATCCCCCTCCCCGGTATCCATTGCATTTTGCTATTGCAGTGTTTCTCCCAGGGGTCGCTCCTTGTCTTACAAGAGACATTTAGGGGTCACCAAACTGGCCCTGGTTTACAATAACAACAGTTTCCGCTTGATATTCCCACACATGTTTTCCCACATTACGCTCTCGCGCGGGGTTCTCCTCACAATGTATGCAGGAATCGCGCTCTCGCGTGGGACGTCCTCGCAATGTATTCAGACGCCGCGCCTTCGACACTCAGGAATCACGCTTTCCTTGTGGATTTCCTTAGGATTCATGCAGGAAGCGCGCTATCGCTCAAAACTTTCTTCCATCCTCCTCCCTCCCCCTGATCCCTTCCATCCGCCCTGTCTTCCCTTGCCTTAAGGGTTGCACGAAATTCACGTTGCAGGTAGGAAGGATCTACCCCCAAGGGGGTGCGATCGAAGACGAAGGGGCCGGCATCGAGGGTGTGAGTGATGGCACGTCAGCAGATCAGATCGAAGAGTATTCAAATGTTTGTTGTTGGTGGTGTTGTTGTTGGCTTGTTGTTGTATTCTCATGTCAACATAGTTGTTATCTATCCCCCCCACCGCGCTTAGCATTGATTTGTTGCAATTGAAGTACCCCTCCCGGGGTTCGCACCCTGTTTTCTCTCACAAGGGCTATCGAAGTCTCGCCAAACTGGATTGCCGGCCCACGGTTTACAACAACAGCGGCTCCAGCATAGGATGTCTTCACAATGTATTCCCAAATCGCGTTTTCGCGTGGGGCATCCGCGCTTTCGCGCGGGATTTTCTGACAAGTCTACAGGACTTGCGCTGTCGCGTGGGACCGCCTCGCAATTTACTCAGACGCCGCGCCTTCGACACTCAGGAATCACGCTCTCGCTTTGGCTTTCTCAGGATTTACTTGGGAATCGCGCTATCGGTCGAGCTCTCCTCGCGGTTTCTGCCGTACCCACGCTTCAGCAACCCCCCTCCTTGACCTGGCCGCCTGGGCCCGCCTTCTCGACCCGCCCGTTGGGGTCTGCCCGCCCGATCTGCCCGTCTGGTTCTGCCGCGTGCTTTCTGCTCCTGGCCCCCTCCTGCGAATCCTATGTTCCATCCTTCTCTATCCACCTTCCATCCGTCCTCTTTTCCGGTGTGTCAGGGGCAGGACCACGTACATTCGGCAGGTAAGGAAAATATGCCCCCAGAGTAGGGACGATCGAAGACGAAGAGGGCGGGCACCGAAGGTTGGAGATACACGTGTCGAGTGGCACGCGTTCGTGTAAGAGCGAATTGTCTTAACATGATTGTTGTTGTTGTTGCTTTTGCTGCTGTTGTAGTTAGTGGTGGTGGTGGTGGTGGTGCTGGTGTTGTTGACTTCTGGTGTTGTCACGGTTGTTGTTGATGCAGTTGTTGTGGTTGTTGTTGTTGGTGTTGGTTGTGTTGTTGTTCCCGTTGTTGTTGTTGTTGTCCTTGTTGTTGGTGGTGGTGGTGGTATTGATGTTGTTGCTGTGGTCATTGTTGTTTGTGTTGTTGTTGGTGTTGTTACGTTGTCGTTGATGAAGTCGTTGTTGGTGGTGGTGGGGTTGTTGTTGCCGATGTTGATGTTGATGTTGTTGTTGCTGTTGCTGTTGGTGTTGCTGCTGTTGCTGCTGCTGCTGGTACTGCTGTTGTTGTGTTTGTTGGTGCTCATGCTGCTGTTGTTGTTGGTGGTGGTGTTGTTGGTGTCGTCGTTGGTGTTGGTGGTGCTGTTGATGGTATTGCTTTTGTTGCCGGTGTTGTTGTCACTGGTTGTTGTCATTGGTGTGTTTGTTTTCGGTGGTTTTGTCGTCGTCGTTGCTGTTGTTGAATCTGAATTGCTAAACAATAATTATTGTTGGACCCCCCCCTCGCCCTGGCGCTCTTGCCTTGGCGCCGGCTACATTGTCATTGAACATGAGGCTCACGCTCGAGCGCTTTGGGGGGGCGCCAAAACCGCCCCCCCCAACTTCAACAAAGCTTCTGCTCGAGACTTCCTTTTTTTTATCGAGAGCTGGTGCTCTTGCTCGCCGCCGAAAACCGCCGCCCCAACAAAACAAACCAACTCTTCCGCTCGAGACTTCTTCCCGCCTTACCTTGGACTGGCGCGCTACTCTTTCTCTCATTGCTGCCGCCCCCAGCAAGAACAGCGCTCCCGCTCGAGGTTTCATTTTTTTTGTTACTCAGAGCCGGTGCTTTTGCTCGCCGCCGAAAACCGCCGCCCCAATAAAACCAGCGCTCCCGCCCGAGACGTCCTCCCGTTTTACGCTGGACTGGCGCCCAACTCTCTTTTGAATTGGCGCCGCCCCCAGCAAGAACAACGCTCCTGCTTGAGGCGGCCTCCCTTTTTCCTGACGACGGTGCTGTTCCTCGCCGCCGACAGCCCCCGTCCCGACAAAGCCGCGGCTCCCACTCGAGACTTCTTCCCTTCTTACTCAAGGCGGTCTTCCTCCTCGCCGCCGACAACCGCCGTCCTAACAGAACCAGCGCTCCCGCTCGAGAGTTCGTGTTGTTTCACGCTGAACTAGCGCCCTACTCTCTTCTGCATTGGCGCCGCTCCTGGCAGCAACAGCACCCCTGTTCGAGACTTCCTCCCTTTCTATTCAGGGCCAGGTCCTTGCCTCGCTGCCGACAGCACCCATCCCCACCAAACAAATCCTGTCGCTCGATACTTCCTTGTGCTTTTTACCCTTGGCTGGGGCTCCACTGCCGGTCTCGCATCGGTGCAGCAGGGCGCGGACATGTGTTTTCGAAACGGGGTATGTTGGAATTCTTCGGAGGTGTTTGCAAGACCTCATTGGGCGGGAGATATGGGAACGGGAATGATGGACCCCCGCGATAGAGCAATAATCCCCCATGACGGGGCTGGTTTGGTTATCAGGATGGTCGCATGCTGCGTGGTGGTGTTGGTGGTGGTGTTGGTATTGTTGTTGCTAGTGTTGTTGGTGGTGGTGTTGCTGTTGCTTGTATTGCTGTTGTTGCTGTTGTTGTTGTTGTTGCTGCTGCTGTTGCTGTTGTTGTTGTTGTTGTTGTTGTTGTTGTTCATGCTGCTGTTGTTGTTGTTCTAGTCGTTGTTGTTCTAGTTGTTGTTGTTGTTGTTATTGTTGAATGTTCACTCCTGAAGGCTAATTATTGCTGATCTCTCGAAACGGCTCCGCGCGCTCTCGCCCCGCCGCCGGTTACATTTTCCCTGAAAACGAGGCTCCGCTCGAGCGTTGGCTTGAGCCTAAATGTGGGCCCTTGAAGGCCCAGCTACGTCAACAACGGCTCCCGCTCGATACTTCTCATACTTTTCCCCGAGACACCCCCCTGGCCAGAGAGGCCCCCGAACCCAGGAGCGGCGCTTTCGCTCGAGAGTTCCTCGCAATTCAAATAACTTGGCGAAGGCCGTGGGCCACGACGACAAGTGCTCCTGCTCGATACTTCCTCACGATTTACTTCGAGAGCCCCTGGCAAAGAATGCGCCTGAGCTCAGGAACGGCGCTCTCGCTCGAGGCTTTCCCGACAGTCAGGCAAGTTGGTGGAAGCCCGGGCACAGCGACAAGGGCTCCCGTTTGATATTTCTCCAAAGGTATTCCAGGAGCCCTTGGCAAGAGATGCCCCCGATTTCAGGCACGGCGTTTTCGCTCGACACTCCTTCGCCCTTCAGTCAGTGGCCGACAATGAATAGATTCCCCCCGAAAGGGGGTGCAATCGAAGACGGAGTGGGCGGGTATCGACGGTTGGGGTATACGAAATGCAAGACACGCGTGCCAGTAAGAACGAACAGCAGTCTTAACATGATAATTGTGGTTGTTGTTGTTGATATGCTGATGGTGTTGTTGCTGGTGGTGGTGGTGGTGTTCGTGTTGTTATTGCTGGTGTTGGTGGTGTTGTTGGTGTTGTTTGTTTTGTGTTGTGTGTTCTAATTATTGTTGTTGTTGATTTTCTTTGTTTGTCTGTTTGTTGTTGTTGAATTTCATGTTGCTCTGGAGGAGCAGGGTGTTCAAGCGGACGCCCTCACCCGCGACGGCACGAGCGCCTTCTGCTGGGCAGCCTGGCAGGGCCACCTCGGCTGCTTGCAGTGGCTCCTTCGGGGGGAGGAAGAGGTCTCCCAAGGGGGACGCGAAGACAGCCGCAAGTCACACGTCGAGGCCTTGGCCGGGGAGCTGCCATTGTCCAGGGCGTCCGCGAGAGGGCGCGAAGAAAGATAGCCTCGCGTCGATGAGTACGACGCGCGAGCATGGGACACCTGGTAGCTTCACGTTCCCCCCATTGAACGGCGTCCCGTCGTCCGCCACTCACGCACACCCGCACGGGCGTTCCCTGAAAAGGGAAGCCCCTTCTGAAGGTAGGTCGGGGTCATATGAATGAGCAGCTTGCTGGCATCCTTGCGTTTTCGTGCAAAGGAGATGTTTCTCCTTGGAGTGTTGACCTGAGGCATTGAGTTCATCATTGGCAGACCGTCGTGAACAGGCCGAAGAGGCCAGGTTGCTTGTTAGGGGGGGATCATCTCTTCTTGAGGCTCGCCGCGCACGGCTGCGACGTGCACTCGACGAACAGCTACGGCTGCAACGCCGCTCTCTGGGCGGCGCAGGGCCCCGGCGGCGTCGAGATCTGTTCCTTCTTGTTCTCGCAAAGCTGCGATTTTGCCCAGATCAACGCCAACGGCCACTCCGCGCTGCACAAGGCAGCGCAGCGCGGCAAGCACGAGGCTCAGGGCGCAGAAGCGCGACCCTGCCCACTCTGTAATCCCCCAGTTGGCCCTCGGCTGCCTGTGGCCATCCCCGCTGGTTCTCGCCCCACGACGGGGGGGGACGGGGGGTGGCACGTCTCAAGATCTGCGGAGGTCCCCCGCGGGAACGGCTCCGCGGAAGTTCCTGGAGGCTTCCGCGAGGACCCCCCGAGTTCTCCGGGGACCTCCAGTGTTCCAAGAAGGCCCCCGTGTGCTCAAGAACTGTCGGCCGCGCGCAGAGGGGGGCAGAGGGAGGGGCGAAGGCTTCCTAGAAGCACCTTTGCTGCTTAGAAGGCGCGGGCCTCGTCTGTGGATGCAGGGCCGGCGCCTTCTAAGAAGCAGCCTCCTTCCAAGAAGCCTTCCCCCTCCCCCCACCCCCTTGTGCGCGCCGCCACCGTCGTGTATCTCCCCCTGGAGGTGCTCACCCAGACCTCCGATGACCGGACTCGTTCAGTCGGGGTCCCCGGAAGTCCCGACCCTTTCCCAAGGGGCCGGCCTTCCATCCCGAGCCGTGACTCGACGGCCTTGGAGCTCCGAGGCGGCCCGCAGTGGGCCCCCCAGAAGCCGACCATGTCTAGCAAAACTCCGTCGTGATCGTTCGAGACGTTGGATGTCTTGGGGGGGGGACGCTTCCGCCTCCCGCCCGCCCCTTCCCCCCCCCGAGGTGTGTCGGTGGCTGCTGCGCGGCGGCGGGGGCCTGACGCCCAGGTCGGTGCTTGAAGCATGGGGGCCCTGAGGGACGGGGCGCGGAGGACAGGAATCGAAGAAGAAAAAACGGCATAAAGATAAACGTTCCACGCTCCATGCGGATTTCTCAGAATGTGCTGGGCCCCCGTGGCGGCCCCTCCGGCGCCGCCCCTGGCGCGCTCCGCGCGCAAGGTAGTGGTGCCTGGCGCACATCCAAGAACTGCGCGAGGACCGTCGAAAGTTTATGTTTATGTAGTTTTTTTCTTCCTCTGAGGAAGGGGCTCGGAGGTTGATAGACCTCCTACCCTGACACGTCGATTAGTGAATTGGCCGTTTTCGGTTCGCGAGAGGGCGTCGCGGCCGTTATTTTTGCGGGTCCAGGTCCGTCGGTTTCGGTCCGAGGCCGTTTTCACTTAAGGGTGGTTTACTAAAGTCGTGCCGGACGAAAGGGGGGGATTGGGCAAGGGTGGGTTACGGAATTTGCCGCATGCAGCTGGTTTCGGCCCCGCCGAGGGGTCCACTCCTCGATACATGGGCGCCTCCCGGCGCCGGGAGGCGCCGGGAAGATCAGCTACGTCAGCTGATTCTCAAACCCCCTTTTTGCTATCCCCCCCTTTCGCCCGATCCGAGAAAGGGAGCCTGCTGTGGGTGGAGGTGCCCCCTGTGGGTGGATGAGGCGTTCGCCCTCCTCCTCGTCGTCCTCATCCTTTCTCCTCCCTCCTCTTCCTCCTCCTCCTCTTCTCCTCCTCCTCCTCCTCCTCCTCCTCCTCCTCCTCCTCCTCCTCCTCCTCCTCCTCCCCCTCCTGCTGGCCCCAGGGCCACACACCTCGCCATGAGTATCGGGGCCCTGCGGGCAGCGGGGCCTCGGGGGTACTTCGCGCCGCGCTAATGGCACGGCTCAGGGTGCAGAAGCCAGTGTCAGGATGGACAAAAAACACACAGACACAATGAGTCGTCAATTCCCCAAGGGAAATAGGGGAAAATATGGGAAGTGGGGGGAAAGACAGAAACCCAGAACATATGGGAAAATATAGGGGAATCCTTTTATTTGTGTCTATTCATTTGTGTGTCCCAGGGCCCCTTCACAGTGCCGGGGAAGAGAGCCCGGGAGGCGAGACCCGTTCCCCTCAGGAGTCGTTTCTTTCACCATCATCGTCAGAACCATTCCCAGCCCCATTGGAACAAGGTACGTTAGCTCTCCCAGCGTACGCACCAGCTCCAGATGGGGATAGATGCCGCGAAACGAGAGACCCGACGGGGGTGACATCTATCCCCACCCAGTGGGGTAAGTCGGGTACAGTCGGACCGAGGTATCAGAGCGAGGTCGGTTCGGGGAGGGTACCCGAACGTGCTTCGTGTAAATGTGCTACCTTGGATGTTCTGTGCGTGTTGGCCAGCGGAGGGTCTCGTGCTCAGGCGGGATGTTTTTCTGTCCTAGTTTCGATTGTAGCTCACCGAGCGCGTTCCACTACTAGCAAAGTGCCTTCTCGCGTACGTCCGAAAACACACATGCCTGCCTCGATGCAATTCATCGTAGATCCCCCGCGGCGGATCCAGGCCATCTGCGAGTAGTTACCTTGCAAGTAGTGGAACGCGTTCGTCTAGCAGCGGGTATCCCAGTGGGCGGGTGGACAGGGCCAACGATGCCGAGAGGGAGGAGGAGGAGGAGGAGGAGGAGGAGGAGGGAGGAGGAGGAGGAGGAGGAGGAGCCGAATGCGTCAGGGTCCCGCTTGCCTGACCTGCCGCCCAGGCACGCGGCCCCCGACGAGGAGGGCCAGAGGCCCTCGGACCTTGCCGCGGCCGAGGGCCACCAGAGCCTGGCGGCGTGGCTGCGGGCGCGGGAGTCTCACCGAGCGGGGTCCGCTACTCGCAGAGTGCCTACTCTAGGGTGCCACATGCGAACCCTACCCCTAGGGGGCACGCAAAGAGTGTAGAGAGGCCTCCCGGGTGGAGTCCAAGCAGATGGAGTCGGAGGATCGCGCCGCATCGCCGTACCACCCACGACTTCTGAGGGAGAGGATGGGGTTTACTGCGCTCGGGAGCTCCCGAACGAAGTGGAACCTACCCTCCCCCTCAAAAGTTGTGGGGGGGTAGGGGTAGGGTTCACATGTGGCCGCATGTGGCCCCCTATACTCGCAAACGTCCGAAACACGCATGTCCGTTTTGATGCAACGTATCGTATATCCTCCGCGGGGGATCCAGGCCAGTTGCGAGCAGTTACCTTGTGAGTAGTGGAGCGCGCTCGTCTAGAGTCGGGGGGGGCCCAGGCCGCCTTGCGCCAGAAAGGAACGCGTCTGCGCCGCAAGGGGGCGGAGGTTCGAAGAACATGTCGCACGACCAGAGTTTGGGAGGTCCGCGCGTTGGATCGGCGGCTTACCGCCGCTCCTGGCGGCGTCTCCTGCGCCGCCCCTGGCGCGCTCCGCGCGCCGTGGAGAAGGCACCAGCACCGATCGAATAATTCCGCGCAGACCTCCGGCGATTGATGCTTCTGTGGTGGATCGCTTCCTGGTCCTGCACTCCGCGTACTTCTGCCTGCGCTTCTGCCCCTGGGTGTGGCAGCCATGCCGCCCCGCGCCCACTGCCAAGGAGATGGAGCCCTGGCTGGCCACCCCGGCCGCTCCAAGGCGATGCACCTTGCCCTGTGAGTGCCCTTGACTCCCACTTTTTTTCCTTCCCGCGGCCGCCTGCGTGTTCTCTCACTCCCCCCCTCTTGCCGCCAGTTAATTTGCGCTTGCCTTCTTCCGGCCCGTTCGTGCGCGCATGCGGACTGCGTCTGCCGCACTGCGACGTCAAAAGGTTATCCAGAAAAAGTTCTCCAATGATCCGGGCGTCGCAATTTTGTCACACTCGGCGTTTTGGCTCCAACTCTTGGCCCCGAGGCCCTCGTTGATCGATCTGGCGCCCTGAGTGCCACCGACCGATGGGGTGGAGTGTTCCAGTCCATATATATATATATATATTACATTGTACGCGTCGCCGGGATAGGGAGAATTGACGCGTAAAAACAGTTTGTTCCAGGATGTCCACGGTTCGGTCAGTTCGGCTATGTTGTAGTCGGTTGCGTACGCATTTGACTTGGTTCTGTCGATTGTTGTGTCGTGTCTGCGTCGCTGCGCCTTTTAAGCTGCTTGCAACCCATGGGTTTTGTCTAGTTCTAGGGTTTGGTGTTGCTGTGGGATGGCGAAGATGCTCAGCATCATACGAGACACTGTGGAACCGCATCCTGGAAGTGCGTTCTCTGTTTCTTGCCCCTCTAGGGCCCGTCTTCGGGCCCGAGGGCCGTCATCAAATTGTCCAATATGGGACTGTTGTCCAACACCCATCGCCGCTGTGACATATTTCTTTCATGCCAAGTTTTGAGGTTTGGAGCGCATGCTGTCCTGTGGAAGCCTGGCTCCCGAAGTGTTGAGAAAGTTGCGAGGGCGCTCGTCAAACCCTGTGCGAGTCTTCTCGGTTCACTGCGAAACCTCACGGAGACCCCCCAACAAGTAAAGGGCATCCCCCCAAAAGTACAGAAGACCACCCCAACAAGTAAAGGAGGCCATACAAAAAAGTACAGGAGACCACCCCAAAAAATAAAAGAGACCCTCAATAAGTAAAGGAGACCCCAAACAAGTAAAGGAGACCAACTGGAAAGTAAAGGAGACCCCCAAAAAACGGACAGGAGACCACCCACAGAGTAAAGGAGACCCCCAAACAAGTAAAGGAGACAGCCCAAAAAGTAAAGGAGACCCCCAAGCAAGTAAAGGAGGCCTCCAAAAAGTAAAGGAGACCCCCAACACGTAAAGGAGACCCTCCAAACAGTAAAGGAGACGCCCAAACAAGTAAAGGAGACCCCCCAAAAGGTAAAGGAGCACACCCAACAAGTCAAGGAGACCCCCCCCCAAAAAGGAAAGGAGACCCCCGCAAAACATTATCTTGGCGAAGGACCCAACCATATGCAGTTATGAGTAGCGCGTTGTGAGTGCACGAAAGGCTGTCCTGGGTGTGGCTGACGCATGGGGGCGGTGCCCCTCGCTGGAGCTCCCGATGAGGCCACGAAACGTTGTATTGGTTGGGCGAGGCGCATGCGGGCGGTGCCGCTGGGGTCTTTCTGTGGAGCCCCCTACGGGGCCGACGCATGCGTGGTGGTGGCCGACGCATGCGGGCGGTGCCACTGGGACCTTCGGTGGAGCTCCTTAGGGGGCCACTGGAGGGGGGGACGCATGCGGGCGTTGCCACTGGGACATTCGGTGGCCACTTGAGCTCCCTACGGGGCCACGAAACGCTGTGCCGGGTGGGGGTGACGCACGCGGGAGCTGCCATTGGGGCTTGAAGGAGCTCCCAATCAATGGGGCCGCGAAATGCAGTACTGGGTGGTGGACGACGCATGCGGGCGGTGCCACTGGGGTCTTTCTGTGGAGCTCCCTATGGGGCCACCAAGCGCTGCACTGGGTGTGGCGGACGCATGTGGCCACCCCCACTGGGGCCTTGGGTGGAGCTCAATATGGGGCCACGAAACTCTGCACTGGGTGTGGCGGACGCATGTGGCCACCCCCATTGGAGCCTTACGTGGAGCTCCCTATAGGACCACGAAGCGCTGTACTGGGTGTGGCGGACGCATGTGGCCACCCCCTCTGGGGCCTTGGGTGGAACTCCCTATGGGGCCACGAAGCGCTGTACTGGGTGTGGCGGGCGCATGTGGCCACCCACACTGGAGTCTTACGTGGAGCTCCCGATGTGGCCACGAAACGCTGTATTGGATGTGGCTGGTGAATGTGGCCACCCCCAGTGGGGCCTGTCGTGAAGCTCCCATTGGGGCCACGAAGCGCTGTACTGGGTGTGGCGGACGCATCTGGCCACCCCCACTGGGGCCTTGGGTGGAGCTCCCTATGTGGCCACGAAGCGCTGTACTGGGTGTGGCAGACGCATGTGGCCACCCCCAGTTGGGCCTTGGGTGGAGCCCCCTATGGGGCCACGAAGCATGGTATTAGGTGTGGCAGACGCATCTGGCCACCCCCATTGGAGCCTTACGTGGAGCTCCCTATGGGGCCACGAAGCGCTGTACTGGTTGTGGCGGACGCATGTGGCCACCCCCATTGGAGCCTTACGTGGAGCTCCCTATGGGGCCACGAAGCGCTGTACTGGTTGTGGCGGACGCATGTGGCCACCCCCAGTGGGGCCTTACGTGGAGCTCCCTATGGAACCACGAAGCGCTGTACTGGGTGTGGCGGACGCATGTGTCCACCTCCACTGAGGCCTTACGTGGAGCCCCCTATGGGGCCACGAAGCGTTGTATTGGGTCTGGCGAACGCATGTGCCCTCCCCCATTGGGGCTTTGGGTGGAGCTGCCTATGGGGCCACGAAGCGCTGTACTGGGTGGGTGAAACGCAGGGGGGAAGGAGGAGGGCGAGGAGGAGGAGGAGGAGGAGGAGGAGTGACGCGCGCCGCAATCTCTTCAAAACGAGGACCCAACACCACAGGATGGTTGGGAATAAAGGAGACCGTCCCAAAAAGTAAAGGAGACACCCGAGTTATCCTGGCGAAGGACCCAATCATATGCATTTGTGGGTACCGCAATTGTGAATATCTTCTTCGGTGAAGCTCCCTATGGGGCCACGAAACGCTGTACTGGGTTGGGGGGAACGCATGCGGGCGGTAGCACTGGGGCCGTCGGTGGAGCTCCCAATGGGGCCACGAAGCGCTGTATTGGGTATCTGCAAATGCCCAATTGGGTGTGTGGGACGCATGCGGACGATCCCATTGGGGGCTTCGGTGGAACTCCCTATGGGGCCACGAAGCGCTGTACTGGGTGGTGGAAAAAAACCAAATTGGGCTTCTGGGACGCACGCGGACGGTCCCATTGGGGGCATCGGTGAAGCCCCCTAAGGGACCACGAAGCGCTGTACTGGGTAGGTGAAAGTGCCAAATTGGGTTTCCGGGGCGCATGCGGACGTTCCCTCTGGGGGCTTCGGTGGAGTTCCTACTGGGGCCTCTTCTCGTGGCCTAGTCACTCTGCGCCGCTCCACAACACGCGGCTGCGCCAGCCGACGAGACCATCGCCGTGGGCGTCGGGAGTCAGTGCGCACTGATCCACGATGTGGAGGCGCCGCGTCGCGTGTTCGATGCGCGCTGCGGCGCGGGCCTGCTGATTGCAGAAGCCGTCGCGTGGCTTGTTAATTCCAACGCGATGTGCCGCTCGCAAGCCGCGCGCCGGCTAGCGAGCAACATCAGGCAGACATAATTGCGGCCGACGGCTAAGAATGCCAGGGCGATGCTGAAGCTGCTCGTTCGGCTTGAACGTTTCCCAGCGGAGAGCGGAGATGAGTTCAAAAATGGAAGCAGCCACCCTCGCGCCCATCTATACTGCGGCAGCGCCGTGCTGAGCCGCCAGCTGCGCGAGTGCAAGGAACTCGAGCAGGCGGCGGCTGGGATCGTGCAGGCGTTCGAGGGCCATCACGCGTTCTCCCAGCTATGTGACGCAGTGGCCAAGGTGAACAGCGTGGGTTTGACATCACCGAGTGGATACTGGACGGTCCATTCGCACTGATGGTTCGAGCAGGGCATCTCCGGCATCCACATGCCCGTCGGGCGACTCACTTGGGACGGGGATTCACATTGGAGGGGAACTCAAATGGACAAGGGCGCGCAGAGCTTACATCTACTCGGCGTCGCAGAGAGTATCGCCGGCGACACCATGTCTGGCACTGCCGGTCTCACCAAACAACTTACCGGTAAGTTGTCAGATGCACCCGCGCACGCTGCCGATCACCGCGTGCGAAGCCGAGAGGCGAGGAGCTCTGTGCAGTCGCGTGACGTTCAGCAGCGCTATCCACCATCGCGCTGGTTTGTGAGTGGGCCTTGATCCAAGCGCGCGTTGTCAAGAAATCATGAAGTTTTGTGTATCGGCACCAGCAAAGCGAGAGAAACGATGCCGTCCCTCCTCCTGCTCGTTGTCCTCCTCCTCCTCCTCCTCTTCCTCCTCCACTGCTGCGGCAGCTGTAGGTGCCTGCGTTGGGAACTATGTTGTTATCTTGGAAGCCGCGGTCGACGCCGAGGCTCCCCCGTAATTCCGCCATCGATTGCATGAAACATGAGGCCCACTTGGGGAGTCCTTCGGTATTTGGGATTTTCCCGATGGGCATTCCAAATTTACGCTGCGCTGTGCTATGCCATGCTTTCTCGACGGGCGTTCACGGTCGCGCACGCACGTGGACCTCGTCTCGCGCAATACGTCTGGGCAGGACGGATATAATGTGCCGCGCGTCTGGCCTGCACGGTTGCGCAGCGCATCGCTCTTCATTCCTTCTCTTCCGCTTCTCTTGCTGCTGGCGATTGCGCGGCTGGTCTTGGATGCCCTCCCCCTGCTCGTCGTTATTCCCTCCCCCCTCCTCCTCCCCCCCTCACCTTCCCCATCCTGCCCTTCCTCGTCCGATGCTGCAGCAGTTGCTGGCGATGGTCTTGTAACCCATTTTGGGCATCTTGGAGACCGTCCTCGGTGCCAAAAATTATCACATAATTCAACGCTGCCGCCCTGCTGACCCCAAAGGATGCTCTTGAGTTTTTCCGTGGGTATTCCCGGAAAACGACTCTCGAGTTTACTTGTGGGTATTTCCAGGGATTTGGGGTCCTTCGGTGATCTGGGGAAGCTTCAGATCGCCCGAGTGAGCCCCTGCGCGGTCAGCGTCTATGGTGGTGGGCCGAACGATCGGGTGCGCTGCGAAAGAACGTCGACGACGACGAGGACGACGCCGACGACGACGATCCCGACGATGACAACGAGCAACGACGACGACCGACGACGACGACGACGATGATCAGGTCCTCCGGGGGCTTCCCTGGACGGGGTGTGGCCTCCAGGAGCTTCCCTGGGCGGACGTTTGCGCATGGTGTAGGACGTCCGAGGGTTTCCCAGGCATGCGTTTTCGCACGATGTAGTGCCTGCGAGGGCTTCTTCGCGAAGACAGTTCGAACGGTATTGGGCCTCCGGGAGCTTTCCATGACTGGTGTTTTCGCGATGTGTTGGGCCTTCGGGGGTCCCACTTCCAGTCCAATCGCGACGACGACAAGGAAGAACGACGACGACGGACGACGACGACGATGATGACGGACGGACGACGACGAATGATGACGACGACGACGATTACGAGGACGGACGACGAAGGAAAACGACAGATGGTGACGACGACGGCGATGACGACGCAGGACCGCGAACGATGCTCCTCCGAGCTAGTATCGACGCACGTGTGATCACCTCTTTGTGATGGTGGCGCGGTCACTTTTGCCACGGCGGAGCTATAGGCAACCGTGCAATCGATCGCGTATCTTTGCACGCCATTCTCTTATTCTTCATTTTTTCTGGCCATTTTTCGGATGGCTGGCGCTTAGGGACGAGCTGGGTGTGAAGTCGCCCTCTCTTTTCGCCAATGAAGTTCTCGTTCGGGACATTCTCGGAATATGAGCTACAGAGCTTGCTCACGACGTGTTGGACGCCTTCTCTGTCTCTGAGGTCGCATCCGTCTCCTCCGTCTCTGAGGCGTCCTCCGTATTTGAGGTCTCCTCCGTCTCTGAGGTCTCGTCCGTGTCTGAGGCCTTCTCCGTCTCTGAGGACTTCCGTCTCTTATTTTGCTGTCGTGAAATAATGCAGTCTGTTCTGTTTCCCCGCTTCGGGTCCGAGGGCCCTCGCGGACCGAACTAGCCCGAACATCCAGCAGGGTTTGGTTCGAAAGTGTTGTTTTTTCTTTCTTTGTTGGGGGGGTATTTCTTGAAAATGTCGGATTGAGAGGTCCGGCCGCAAGAGCGGGTCGCGCTTGATCTTGGCGGGTTCGGGGGGATAACAGAAACCAGCGTTCAGAGGACCGTGCCCCTTTCAGCGGTAGAAGAGCGAACCGACAGTCCTCGCCAGAAAAAAATCTAGCGCTGACCGACGCAGTGCCCGAGTCCTGGACCAGTTCCAGATCGCCGCTTGAAGATATAGCTACTCGATTGCTCCTACGTCGTGCTCAATCTTATTGGGGCCAGATGTCTCGAAGGTGAAGCTGGAATGGAATACGTGGGCCGAGATGTGTTCACAGCGTCTTGTGCGCCAGGTCATATTCGGTGAGGTGCACGACATGCGCAGACGCCTTCGCTTGCAAGACTGTGTTTTGACTGATGTGCTTGTCTTTGCGCAGGCGGCCAAAGAGAAAGCGAAGAAAAAAAAGGACGCCAAGGCCGACGCTTCTCCCGAGGCTCTGCGGAGAGTGCCGGAGGGAGGCGCATGTGTTCGGGGTTGTTGTTGGTGTTGCTATTCGTGGTGACGACTCTCATGATGTTTATGAGCGTTGACCGCGACGCCGATTACGACGATGGTGATCAGGCAATCGTGCGCAGTGCAATTATCGAACACAGCGCGTGCAGACACAAACCTCCTGAGCTTGAACACTACAAGTCGTCCCGCCGTGGCAGCGCAAGCATTAGGCTTGTATCGGAAGTCTCCCACGCGGCGACCCCAACAAGTGCCATGTTTGGTGCATGGGGATGTTACCGAAGTGCATGATTAAAGTGAGGCACGATGCGGAGGGCACTTCATTACAGCGGCTCGACCGATCCAGTCGATAATACGGTCTCGTTGGTCAATTCGAAGATGCGTTTCGACCGATTTGGTCGATTCGATGGTGCGTGCGCTGGAAGCCCGAACCTTTCCTCCAAGAATCAAAATGCATTGCAGCACATTATCCTCGAGGAGTGTGTGTGTGTGTCGTGTGTTGTGTGTGTGTGTGAGTATGCGTGTGAGTGTTGTGGGGGATGTTGTTTCTGGATGCGCCTGATCGTTTTCTCATCCTCGGAGACCTCCAGGCACCTCGGGGATCCCAGACTTTTCCAGTGATCCAAGATAAATCAGGAGGGGGAAAAACACAGAGACCATTCATCGTCGGTTCCCCTGAAAATCTGAGGAAAAATGGAATCCTGTTATTTGTGTCTATTTTTCCCAACCCTCCTGCGTTGGGTTCTCGTTTTGAATAGAGCAGTGCGGTCGCGGTCCTCCTTCTCCTCCTCCTTCCCGCCTCGTTCCTCCTTTCCTCGTCCCCCCTGCATCTCACCTTGCTCGTCGCCGCGTGTCAGCTTGCCTCCTGCCTGGTCATCCCTGTGCGGGGCTGCGATCTGCGAAACTGTCGCCACTTTCGAGGGCTGCTGGGGGGCCCAGCGGAGTGGGGTCATACTCAGACCCAGATTAGACCTCGCCATCCCTGGGAGGGGCTGCGATCTCTGAAACTGTCGCCACTTTCGAGGGCTGCTGGTGGGTCCAGCGGAGCGAGGCACCACGGGGATTCAGATTAGACCTCGCCATCTCTGGGGGGCTGCGATCTGTGAAACTGTCGCCACTTTCGAGGGCTGCTGGTGGGTCCAGCGGAGTGAGGCACCACGGGGATTCAGATTAGACCTCGCCATCTCTGGGGTGGCTGCGATCTGTGAAGCTGTCGCCACTTTCGAGGGCTGCTGGTGGGTCCAGCGGAGTGAGGCACCACGGGGATTCAGACTAGACCTCGCCATCCCTGGGGGCGGGGGCTGCGATCTGTGAAACTGTCGCCACTTTTGAGGGCTGCTGGGGGGCCCAGCGGAGTGAGGCACCACGGGGATTCAGATTAGACCTCGCCATCTCTGGGGGGGGGCTGCGATCTGTGAAACTGTCGCCACTTTCGAGGGCTGCTGGTGGGTCCAGCGGAGTAAGGCACCCCGGGGATTCAGATTAGACCTCGCCATCTGTGGGGGGCTGCGATCTGTGAAGCTGTCGCCACTTTCGAGGGCTGCTGGTGGGTCCAGCGGAGTGAGGCACCACGGGGATTCAGACTAGACCTCGCCATCCCTGGGGGGACTGCGATCTCTGAAACTGTCGCCACTTTCGAGGGCTGCTGGTGGGTCCAGCGGAGTGAGGCACCACGGGGATTCAGATTAGACCTCGCCATCTGTGGGGGCTGCGATCTGTGAAATTGTCGCCACTTTCGAGGGCTGCTGGTGGGTCCAGCGGAGAGAGGCACCACGGGGACTCATATTAGACCTCGTCATCTCTGGGGGTGGCTGCGATCTGTGAAACTGTCACCACTTTCGAGGGCTGCTGGTGGGTCCAGCAGAGTGAGGCACCACGCGGACTCAGATTAGACCTCGCCATCTCTGGGGGGCTGCGATCTGTGAAATTGTCGCCACTTTCGAGGGCTCCTGGTGGGTCCAGCGGAGTGAGGCACCACGGGGACTCAGATTAGACCT